TGTGTGTGTGTGTGTGTGTGTGTGTGTGTGTGTGTGTGTGTGTGTGTATGAGAAAGAGAGAGCTCTTAAGCTTGTAAGGCATGCACGCTACAGGTTGAGCTATCTTCCCAGCCTATTTATTTATTATTTATTTGGGACAGGACCTCACTGTAATCTAGGGTGACCGCAAACGCTCTATGTAACCATGGATGTCCTTGAGCTCCTTTGGGGCTCTAGGAGTTATCACCATACCCTGCTTCAAGAATGCTTTAAAGGCTGGAATTCTTCACAAAGTCCTAACAGAAGATACAAAGCTAAACACAAATGCTTCTAGTGAATCAATATCTCAAACTCTCAGCTTTTATAATCGAGACTCTACAACAGCAACACCGAGTCCTTTACCCCCAAGAAGATGAACTGCTGGGCTAGGTATCATGGACTTCACCGAGCCCTCTCAGGAGATCCCCTACCCACGGAGCCATCTGACCTTTTAATGAGATCTCTGTGGTGAACAAAATAGTGATCAGGGTAGTAGGATTGATGTTTTCATGTGGTGGTAGAGATGGAAGCCAGACCCAGGTGCGTGCTAGGCGAGTGAGCACTCTACCACTGAGCCACATCCCCAGTCTTGGTATTTTTATATTCCCTCTATATTCAATAAGATCTAAGAACATTAAAATGATTATAATAAAACAGTATCCAACACAGGATGAGACACTGGATGGCAAGGAAAACAATAGGGAACCAGGGGCAAGTCGAGAACTTGACTAGGGCATTGGGCAGTACAGCGAACCCTCCACTGCTGAAAATTCCTCAGCACTCCCGTCAGAATAGTTCTGTGCCAAGGGCATGCCAAAATCTTAAAATGCGGCTGCCACGTTGGGCACGCATACCTACCTTTCTCCCCCGACTCTCAGAAAGCTGCTGGAAAACATCTTGGTTCCGCTGCCCTGTTTTCTGGTCAATACATATCATCTGACACCTGTGACAAGGTCCCAGGACCTGGCAGGGGAGAAGGGAAATGCAATGAGGCCGGGTGGAATCACAAGCATACGACCAAGCTCTGAACACAAACAAGGCCCCCTCTCTGCAGCCCTTCCTGGGCAGTGGTTGGCCCATCCGGGGCTGCCAGCTGAAAGGTGGCTTCCTAAGAACAGCGGGGAGAAAGAAAGGAGCAGAAGACGAGCTTGATGGTTCCTACAGGCGGGAGGAATCTGAGGACGGAAATCACCACGGAGCCAGGCCCAGGGCACCAACTATCCACACAGAGATTTAACCTACAAAGGAAGTAGAAGTCCAAACACAGAATCACCAGCAGGGATTCGTCCGCGTAAGGCTGACAGTGTGGAAAACGTGTATCTTAGACATCACATGGTACTGAAGATAACACATCTATGCGATGCTTACCACAACAATTAAAATTAATCTACAAGAAGCTGGGGGTGTGGCTCTGTGAGTCAGGGGCTTGCCCACATGCATGAAATCCTGGGTTCCCACTCCAGTCCTGCATAGAACAGGTGTGGCAATCCACACCTGTAATCCCAGCACTCAAGGTGGAGGCAGAAGGATCAGAAATTCAAGTTCATCTTCAGCATCACAGCAAGTCTGATGCTTGCCTGAGCTACGTAAGACTCTTTTTAAAAAAAAAATCACAAAGGCCTTTAAATAAAATGGAGAGGATACTCGTATTCTGTAATTGAGAAGCAAGCAAGGTCTACATGTATTTTATATATGTCTACAGATACACACGCCTACATACCCAATACAAAAACAGATAAAATCCCCTCCAGCTGCTTGGCATAGGTCATATGGTATGAGAGGACTCAGCAGTCATTGGCCATAGCCTTTACCACTTTCATAACAAGAGGGGAAAGACATCAATATTAACAGCAAGTTTACATCTCAGCAGTGATGAGATTGCTCTTTTGCTACACACGCAAGATGCAAAAGGGCTTTTTTAAAAGACAGAATCTCAGTACGTGAACTGAACTCAAGAGATCCTCTTGCCTTAGCTACCTCAACAGCGAGGATCACTGTGTCCGTGACTGGGTTTCCCCATGGCTGCTTGTGCCTCAGCTTATTCGTGGGTCAGCACGGTTCGCTGAGGTTAGAAGCACTAATGCAGCTGAGCCCTGGCCTGTGGTATAGTCTTCACTCTAGCTGATGGGCATCCGTCCGCTGGGAAATAGTGTCTGTGTGGTTCTGAGTTCCACGTTCCCAGGCCCTGTGAGTGGCAGAGGGTGCTGGAAAGAACACCAGGTGCTTACAACACCAATTAAGATGTTTCCTCATCCAGCCGCTTAGCTGGATGTGTCCGGGAGTCCAGACACGACTAGAGGGACGCCAAGCCCACACACCTTCATGCTCAAGTGGAAGCACTCACTGCTGGGGATGAGGATCCTGAGACAGGGGCCAGTTCAGCTCAGTATGGAGACGCTCTCAGCTACCCCGGAAAACAGTGTCTCCCATGAGCTGGCAGAAGGGATGCCAGGGACCAACAGCAGCCGCCAGACCCAGGTCCAGACAGCTTCTCTTCACACACAACACTTTGTGTCAAAACCTCATCATTTTTGTTGAAAAGATCCTCAGAAAATTTCTCAGGTGGCAGGAGGGACATCTTCCAGATATTCTTTTATAAATACATATGCATCCATACACACTTCCTTTTTAAGCCTTCCTTAGTTTTCTTTTAATATGTATCTTTAAAAAGCGTTTACTGTCATAAATGCCTGTTGAAAAACAAGCCAAATACAAGCACATGCAGAGTAGAGTCAAAAGGGAAAAGTCAACAGTCACCATCTCCCCTGTGGTAAACAGACAGCAGCTTAGGAAGATCTAGGCTCCTCTTGGAGACTCTCCTCCAGACTCGTCTATGAGGGACTTTCTAGATTGGGCTAGTGGGTGTGTGCTGACCTACCCTAACTGTAGTAGCCATCATCCCATGGGCTATGGTCCCAGACTGAACAAACACCACAGCTGATCACCAGCATCCACGCTCTCCCCTTCCTGCCTGTGACCAGCCGCCTCACTCCTGTTGCCATCTTTCTCACCATGACAGATCGCACCCTCAAGCTGTGAGCCGAAATTAACTCTTCCTCGCTTGAGTTGCTTTCACAGTGATTACAGCAATCAGAAAAGAAACCCATCCAACCTCCCCATTCTCAGCGACAAGGGCTGCTATATGGCTGAAGCTTACCCCCAAACTAAACTCTACACCCAATCCTACCTCTGCACCTTTGTGGGAAGCACACTGACATCTGAAAGGCCACCTGGGTTTCCTTCCATCACCTATCACACAGGGGGTACCCTTCCATGTCAGTACACAAAGAGCTTCCTCCTCTTCCTCCTCCTCCTCACACTTTGTAATTCTCAGGGTGAAAGCTTGGTCTGTCCGAGTTGATGTTCTTATCTCTTTGAAGCTATGAAACAGTTCCTAACAACTCAGTTTCTCTTGTTCTAGGAATGTAAAATCCCCCACCTGGGGTGCTATTTTGGCACATTGTGGTCCCTTTATGATATGGAGCTGCTCTCAGGAAATGGTCACTTGGGGATGGGGCCTAGAGCTGGCCCTAGCTTCTTGTTCACTGTTTCTTGATTGGCCCAGACATGAGCAAGCAGTCTCACTGTTGCCCCCACAACCCCACCCCCATCCCCCACACCTTCTCTCCAGGAAGGACTGTATCTGCCCTGAAGCCATGAGCCTAAATAAACCTTTCCTCCCTCAAGCTGCTTCTTATCAGATATTCAGTCACTAGAAAAACAGTCAGTAAGTTCTCGATAATTTTTAGTGACAGTCTTAATGCATACCAGTTGCCTACTTGGATCTATTCATTTTTTTAAAGATGGGAACCAAACCTGAGCCATCTGTGAGGGCAGTCAGTGCTCTTAACTACTTAAGTGGTGTGGGAGGTCCTTCTGTTTGTGTGTTGCTTTCATTGGTTAATGAATAAAGAAACTGCCTTGGCCTAGTTGATAGGGCAGAACTTGGGTAGGTGGGGAAGACAGAACTGAATGCTGGGAGGAAGAAGGGCAGAGTAGGGGAGAGCCGCCATGAAGCCGCCAGAGTCAGACATGCTGAATCTTTGTCGGTAAGCCACTGTCATGTGGTGATATACAGATTAATAGAAATGGGTTAAATTAATATGTAAGAGTTAGCCAGTAAGAAGTTAGAGCTAATGGGCCAAGCAGTGATTTAATTAATACAGTTTCTGTGTGGTTATTCAGGGCTAAGCTAACAGGTGCCAGGACAAACAAGTGGGCCCTCACTGCAACACTTAAGCTACCACTCCAGTCCCTATTTGGAATTTTTAAGGATCAGTTTCTCCAAGTGAGGTTGAGCTAACATGTATAAAGTAGTGATGGCTTAGTGGCATCCAGTTAAAATCTGCTTTCTCAAAGAGATGCTCCAGTCCCTTAGCAACTGCCATAGCGCCCACTGCCATCCACAGACGTGTCTTAAGTGTTTATTTTCGAAAGGCACAGAATTAACTGTATCTTGTAAATTTTCCACTTACTGACTACATTGTACAGATGTGGCATAATTTATTTAACCTTGTTAATAGCTCTGTACAAGCATAGTCAGAATGTTCCCTAATTTTTTTATGATATAATAATACTTTAGTAAGTAACCTGACCACACTTCTTTGCACACTTGCTGTTAGCAGTGATGGTTTTGCTCCACTGGGGACTGAACCTAGGGTTTTGCTCACACTAGGCTAGTGCTCTACCACTGAGCTACCTCCCCAGCCAGTGCACGAGCATTTCTATGCAATAGTTTTCTTCAAAATGAAATTACTGGGCCAAAGAGCATGCATAGTCTAATTTCAGTTTGTTTCCATACATTAGAAATGTTAACTATAGAAGGCAAAGCGTGCTGAGATGTCACTCAAAGGTTCCTCGTGCCTTTTCTATGTGTGGCCCCGAGCCCCTGGGGAGACACGGGTGCTGCTCTTGTCAGGTGGGCTTCTGATAGTGAGCCTGGCACAGTTACTTTTTCCCTCGCTCTTTCCTCTCCCTCCCTTTGGTCCTCCCTCCCTCTCTCCAAATATCTCACGAGGTATATTTAGCGCCTACCTTGGTGCCCAGCAGGTTGAGTCAGAGCAGATGTTTCTAAAACAGCAGAGATTCAGTGATGGAGAATAGGAATGGAAGAGGAGGCCAGCAGACAGGGCAATGACAGGAGAGACACTACCAGAACCAGGCTTATAGGAAAGAAAAGAGAATGGCTTTCAAGTTGGAAACTGCTCAGTAAGAACTTACAGAGTTCAAGGGTAAGAAGGGTCACCAGGCCTTTTGTGTACCCCCACTCCAGATCTGAGATCCACTGATGGCAATGTAGACCTTTTTACTGTTTTTCTGGGTGTTGGACTGGTATTGCATTGAAGCACAAGCCCGGGGACACAAGGTAGTCATGTGACAGTCCAGTTACACCCTCTGCAATTAGTAGGATCAATTCATACCCACTGAAGAGCTGAGCACATTGTCCACTGGTGAGCCATCCTCTACAGCCTCCAGTTAGTCCTTACCGTTCCTGTCTGACTTCCGAATAATTGCTCACTGGGCGCTGACTCCGCCAGGATGCTCTAGGTCCCAGAGCAAGTTGGTAAAAAAAAAAAAAAAAAAAAAGCAGGCATTATCTGCACCCTGGTCACTCAGGGATGTTGTAGGCAGCATGCTGAGAAGAATCATATTGCTGAGGTGACCTCTAAGCCAATGTTCAGTTGCAATACAACAGGTAGAAGGGGCAACAGGGCAAAGGCCTGAGGCAGGAGACTGGAGGGAAGGCCAAGCTCAGAGGCAGAGCTCATGAGTTTGTCAGTCATGTGAGGAATGAAGATGCAGGATGCGGTTTCCCTTCCATCTCTCATACATTTAAGACTCCTGCAAAGGCTTGGGGGACTGAGAGGAGATGACAATGGGTCTGCCTCTAACTATAATCTCTTCCCCAGCTGCCATTAAGGGCAGAAGCCAGAAGAGAAAAGAAAGGGTAGGGAGTAGGGGTGAGGAGGGAGCGGAGAGAGGGGAAGGGATAACAGAGGGAGGAAGGGAAGGGAGAGGCAACAGCAATAGAAAGCATTAAGGGGTCACTAGGCTTCTAGGTCTCCCTCTACAAGCTCTACAGCACTGGGAAGTCCAGCATCATTAAAGGGGACATGTTTTCATGACACAAACATACCCAGAGAACATACTTAAGCCCAAACACAATGCACAGAAGATGGTAAGTGGAGAGAGGGGTAGCTGTCACCATCCAGTTTGGAGTTGAGATCAACAGTCACTGCAGCCCTTTGAGGAAGGAGAACCACCTCCTAAAACTTACCTGGAAATGCAAGGAGCCAACGGAAACCTCATCCCATGCCTCTTCTTCAAAAGCCCTCGCTCCTTTGGTAATGATGTTGGCACGGAAGCGGGAGACGAGATCTTTCACTGACAATGGCTCCTCCTTTCTATGCTCATCACTGTTAATACAGATCAAGAAGGGTAAGCGGAGGGAGACGCAGGGTGCCCACATTGTTGTAACAATTCTACACACTTCACACTCCAGCCCTGACTATACCTGAGGCCTGAATGGTCAGAAAAAAACTTCTCTCATGAGTGTAAAAGCAAAACACACCCGTCTGTTAGACACATCCACAGCCCTTCCCTAGGATATGGTCCCACCTCCAGGGAGAAGCCCACAGGAAGCAAACAGTGGATAAGTTTAGCTGAAGAAACCAGATGAACAGAATAAAAATTAATGAGCCTCCAGAAAACACCAGTTCTATAACATGGGACAAGACATAGACAGACAAGAGCTGTTGGTATTTGAACTACAAAGATCTTCTTAGCACAGAGACCACACTCTCTCACGCAGGCCAGAACAAATGAAGAAAAACAAAAGATCATAGAGGATAAGATTCTTTGTTTAATGGGACAGGATCTCCCTAAGTTACCCAGGTTGGCCTCCAATATGCCTCGGCATCCCTAGTACCATAATTATAACCTATACCCCCAGGCCCAATTCATATCATTCCTGACTGAAAGTTTTGTTTATTGCCATGAGCATCTACAAAATGACCTTCTGGGTTCCCATACACCCAGTCCATTCAGAGGAATACACTGAAGACAGTTCTGAGGACTTCCCCGACACAGGAGCACACACTGTGTTAAATCAAAGGATGGGCAAGAGTGTCTACAGTGAAAGAAATCTAAATAAGGGTGGCTTCCGTCGGGTATGGTCCCTACCTGATCTGGGGTCACTCGGGCGCACACATCTGTAAATTTCTCTGTGCTATGGGCTTGGGGATTTTTGCACTTTGTATACTTCAACAAATTCCTAGAATTTCTGTATTGGAATACACTGGGAAGTGGCGGGAGATAGCCACTGAGCATGGTAGGATGGCTGTGGGATTGGCGTGGAAGGCTTGTGACACCCTTCTGAATGGCCGGGGTCACATATGGAGCCTGGGACCGGGAGATCTAAGCCTAGCTTCACTGCAAGCTCTGAGAATCTCCAGCACCAGAGAGGACTACTATACAGTCCTTCAGTTTGGATTTACTTTCAAAGTTGGTACAGACTCCTTTGGGTTTTGCGGAAGGAGAGGTTTCTTATCTGAAAACTATTGTGTTACCATGCAAATGGGGGGGGAGTCAATCTGCATGCAGACACTGAGAAACACCAAGGCCTGGCTCAGTCTCTGACCTATGACATCATTTGGGGCCAGCCAGCCTTGCTCTAATCCAGCTGGTTGGAAGTATATGCCCTGCTGGTAGGAACCAGGGTTGCAACAAGCCTGTCTTCTAACCACCCACATTAAGGACCTGCTCTCTCCTGTTCTGGATGTCTGAAAGAAGGGTTCCCTGGTTCTGAGAAAATTCAGAACACCAGAAACTCCAAAGTTAAGTCACAATTCTGCACCTGAGGTAGACAAACTTGATCCACGGCCAAGGAACCCTATTGTGTGTTCTCTCAAAAGACTAGAAACTCCGTTAGCTAATCTTGAGGGAAGGTCAAGGAGAGTCCCGTGGCCCCTGTCAGCTGTATGTGTAGGTGTTCAAGGTGTGAACATGTGTGCACAAGACCACATGGCCTGTAACATGAAGGCCGGCTTGTTGGGGTATCTGTTCCCGCCCGGTACCCCACAACCGGCAACTCCCAAGGAAAATCACATACAAGACTCCATAAGATTATAAACTGATTGGCCCATTAGGTCAGGCTTCTTATTAGCCCTTGTAACTTATATTAACCCATTATTCTGATCTATGTTAGCCATATGGCTTGGTACCTTTTCCAGCTGTCAGCTTCACATGCTGCCTCTTTGGTAGTCTGAGCAGGAATGTAGAGAGCTTCCTGATTCTCAGAATACTCCCGGTCTCTTTTCTCCACCCCTACTTTCTGTCTGGCTTTCCCGTCTATACTGCCTGCCTGGCCAATCAGCATTTTATTAAAATATGATTGACAGAATACAGACAATTCTCCCACACCAATGGCCCATGATGTGCCAGGAGTACACACCTACCTCCCTGGCCTGAGGACTATGAATGAGAAGCCTGTGTCCACCAAGACCTGACAGACAGCTACATGACTTTCCCTAATTAACTGCCTGGCTACCAGGCCTGCGTTTCCTCTAAGGAAGAATCCCAAGAGTTGGGATGGTATCCTAAAAGTATCTGAGCCCTCGGGAGGGCACTGGGGGAGAGTGAGCAGCCAGGGACACTGTGTCTGAAGGTGTATCTTACAAACAAAACCTGCTTGTGGCCACACTCAAAATGCTTTTATAATCACTCTTGTGTGAAGTAGGGCGGGAATCCTAAGAGACAGGGGCAGTAGGAGGATGGGCGATGAAATCAGGTCGAGCTGGTAACAAATTAAAACGAGGTGTAGAAATAGAATAATTAAAGCCAGAGCTGGGGGTTCTCCACGTTTCATGAGAGCATCAAGAGAGGCCATGCTACAGTCTTGACCTTAAATATCCTCCAAAGCCCACAGTGAAAGCTGGATTCCCATCATTGTCCCACCAGAAATGGTGGAAGCGTTAAGAGACTCAAACTGGGAGGAGTTTGGGTCGCTGGAGACATGTCCTAAAAGGGAACTGTGGGTGTCCCCAGCCCTTCTCCATTCTCTCACCATGTACTCCTGCTGTGATGTGCCACAATAGGGCCCAAGCCACGGGGCTGCCAATATGACTGACACCCCAGAAGACGCACATTCTCTTGACAAGTTGATTGTCCCAAACCTTTGCTACAGCAATGGTAGGCTGATTGGCACAGGCAGTAAATGAGAGCTCTCAGAATTAGTAACAGGAACCAGGGCTGAGAAAATGGCTTTGATGGTCAAATGCTGTGCATCTGAGTTGATCCCCGGCACACACACACACACACACACACACACACGCACAAAGTCTTGCTTAGCGGCACCCACTTGTAATCCCAGTGCTGAAAAGAAAGAGACAGGGGGATTCCTGGGACTTGGTAGTTGCCTGGCCTGGCCTAATCAATCTATGAGCAAGGTAGAGAGTGACTGAAAGAAGCCTAAGATTGAGCTCTACCCTCCACACCCAATTGAATACATGTATACCCTTATACTAATATGCACACATGTGTACACACACACACACACACAATTTAGAAAGGGAGGGTTGGATGGATGGAACAGAGGAAGCGATGGAAGAAGGAAGGAAAGGAGGTAGGGAGAATGGGAGGGAAGGAGCGAGGGAGGGAGGGAGGGTGGGAGGGAGAAAGGAAGGAAGGAAGGAAGGAAGGAAGGAAGGAAGGAAGGAAGGAAG